CATCCCACCACCTCACTGCAACTGACATAACTATGACACTATGATGTCTGCATTGCACTTTACATGTCCCTTTCTTTGCTGAATCTGACACTCCTAGCCACACATTCCTTGAAATTCACCTTGCCTATGGCTTTGTTAATGGTTTTGAACTCTGAATTCTAGATCTTTATAACTAGGCTCACACATGTCTTTATTAATCAAAATAGTAACCGTTACAATGAATAGATTTTTGCCCATGAGAAATAAGTTTGTTTATTCCTGTAGCATAAAAATCCATGCTTCGGGATTTGATGAACTCTGGAAAAGCATTTTCCGCATCCTCCTGGTTGTAAAAACATTTTGCCTGCAAAAAGTTGTCGATATGCTTGAAGAAGTAGTGGTCAGTTGGCGACAGTTCAGGTGAATATGATGGATGAGGCAAAACTTTGTAGCCCAGTTTGTTCAACTTTTGAAGCATTGGTTGTGCGACGTGTTATTGGGCATTGCTGTGGAGAATGGGGCCCTTTCTGTTGACCAATGCTGGCCAGGGGCATGGCAATTTTTGGTGCCTCTCATCAATTTGCCGAGTATACTTCTCAGATGGACTGGTTTCGCAGATTCAGAAAGCTGTAGAGGATCAGACAGGCAGGAAACCACCAAAGAGTGACCATGACCATTTTTTGGTGCAAGTTTGGTTTTGGAAAGAGCTTTGGAGTTTCTTCTTGGTCCATTCACTGAGCTGGTCATCACTGGTTGTCATATGAAATCCATTTTGCATCACATATCCCAATCTGATCAAGATGTGGTTTATTGCTGTTGCATAGAATAAGAAAAGACAACACTTCAAAACATCAATTTTTTTGATTTGCAGTCAGCTCATGAGGCAGTCAGTCTTTTTTCACCTTTCCAATTTGCTTCAAATGCCAAATGACCATAGAAAGGTCAACGTTGAGTTCTTGGACAACTTCTCCTGTTGAGAGGATCAGCTTCAATGATCCTCTCAGCTGTCTGTTTTCAACTTCCGATGGCTGGCCACTATGTTCCTCATCTTCAAGACTCTCATCTCCTGTGCAAAACTTCTCGAACCACTACTGCACTGTACATTCCATTAGCAGTTCCTGGGTCAAATGTGTTGTTGACATTGTAAGTTGTCTCCACTGCTTTAAGACCCATTTTGAACTTGAATAAAAAAATTGTTTGAATTTTTTTTTCTAACATCATTTCTTAGGTGTAAAATACATATAAAATAAACAGCAAGTAGTAATTCATTAGCAAAAAACATAAAGCAATAAACATTCATTAAAATGATGTATAACTTAACCACATTTATTCAAGAATATATTCCAGTATCAAATAGCAAAGTTCAACAATGCAAAATTGAAATTACTTTTGCACCAACCTTATATTTTCCCCAGGATTCCACTGTGAGCCACTACTATTTCACACAGTTTTATCAATGCTTGTCACTTATGTATATATACTGATGACTCACAAATCTAAATGTCCAGTCCTAACATTTCCATTTTGCATCAGAGGTCAGTTCACATCTATTTGTATTTCCCAAATGCATGCATGCTAAGTTGCTTCAGTCTTGTCAAACTCTTTTTGACTCCATGTACTGTAGCCTGCCAGGTTCCTGTGTCCATGGGATCCTCCAGGCGAGAATACTGGAGTAGGTTGCCGTGCTTTCCTCCAGGGAATCTTCTCGGCCCAGGAATCAAACCCTTGTCTGCTGCATTGGCAGGCAGGTTCTTATAACTAGCACCACCTGGGAAGCCCATGTGTCTCCTACAGGTACCTCATATTCAGCATGGCCTTGACTGAATTCACTGTCAACTCCCTCACTTCTAAAACTTGGTTCTCTTCCTCTACTCCTGATTTGGTAGGCCCATGAGTTTCAGAATCATTCTAGAATAGCACAGTGTCCAGTAAAAATATAATAGAAGCCACATTAATAAGAGATATTTAAGATATACTGTGTTAAATAAATTCTATTCTTAATATTCATTTCACCTGCCTCATTTTATTTAACACGGTGTATCTTAAATATTATCATTTTCACATGTGATACATTTTAAAACATTTAGTGAAATATTTTACATATCTTTTGTATTAAGTTTTCAAAATCCACTGTGCATTTTACACTTATCACACATCTGAGATTAAACTAGTCATTATGGCTCAATAACTATATGTGGTTAGTGGCTACTGTACAATGCAGTTCTAGAGTCTTTCCTTTCACTAATCCCCCTTTCATCCAGCCATAAGTCCTACTGGTTTTGTCTCCTAGGTGTTTGTCCGGTAGGTTTATTTATTTTTATGCTTTCTTCATCATGACGTTACTTCACACCTTGGTCATTTCTCTCCTGGGTTATTTCAGCAGCTTACATAACCTAGTTTGTCTCAGGGAGCATGGAAAATCTGATGGAATGCAGGAGGATATAATAGAACATCTAAATACATAGTTTTATCTAGAAAACAGTTAAGATTTATTAGTATTTAAAATATATGTGTGTGTGTATGTATATATATATATAAATATGTTGATGCCAGTACTGTCACTCTGTGACACAGAGAAGTCAATAGCTAAGTTATAAATGTAACAAATAGATTTCTCCCACAAAATAAAAAAATATTTATTTCATCTTCATATCATACTTTCAGATTTCTTTGTGTGTTTCTGTGGATGTACACAGTTTAGTAGTACAATGGTCATATATACTTAATAAATTTACATGTATACTTGAAATTTATATTTATTTTGCCAATTTTATCTAGAATTTGGGGTCTGTTGAACCGGATTTGACTCTGATTTTACCCCACTTACCTCTCCAGCCTCAATTTCTTCATCCCAACTCATATTTTCGGCATGAAGTGGCTCTTTCCTATTGTGTTCTTTTTTGTCCTTCTTTATGGAGAACACATAAATGGACAGACAGGACTACTTCCTGGTCTAATTTGAATTCTGTTAGGCTCTTTTGAGCTACCATGTTTCCAAGGAAAGCCTATAAACTATTAACATTTTTTTAAGTTGTATCCAGTACTCCTTCTCTTACTTAGCATACATCTCTTGTTACATTATTATGTTGAAATTATCTCTTTATGGATCTTCATTCCCTATAAAACTGTAAAATTCTTGAGGGCAGGGTGTAGCATCATCACCTTTCTCATATTGACATATGATATGTTCTTAGCAAATGTTTGCTGAACTAAATTCATGGTTCTTCTTAATGAAGCCAGCCTGTTTTATCAACAGGTGAAATGGTTCTTCTTAATGAAGCCAGCCTGTTTTATCAACAGGTGAAATGGTGATTTTCTTATTGCAGTTCGTAGAGTATCTGGAAGACTTCTTTATCCAAGATGCCTGATAAATGAAATAGTAAATATACTTTCATTGAGTGGGCTATGTTGAGTATGCTGTTTGTAAGCTGTGGTGGTGTGGGTAACAGTCTTACTGGGAAATAACCAGTTCCTTCTTCCTAAAAATTAAATGAGATTATTTGCTGTAAGGAAAATGAAATTTTGGTTGTATGTATACACGCAGTGATTTTCAAACTTTGGTATGAAAAAGACTCACTTTGCAAAGTATTAATCTGTAGCTTCCTAGGTTTCATATGTATCTATTCTGATTCATGTGGATTTCTAGTTGTCCCAAGAATCTGTGTTTTTAGAAAGCATCCCAATGGTTATTTACTGTAACCATTTAATTTTATTAAGTATGGTATAAACCATACTTTGAGAAGTATTGTTTCCTTCTTTCTGAAGCAGAGGATAAGAAGGAGTAATTTTAAACAGTCACGCTGCCTCAGTATATGCCTGAGTGGGGTTCTGTCTGGGGGTCTCTAGAGTTCAAAAAGGGAAAAATAGCTGATGCTGGTAGGTACTGCAACAGGGAATCAGGGGTAACTGAGACTGGGGTGTGGAGTGAGTCTTGGAAGACCAGTAATGACCTTGACTTCTTTCACCATTTTCCCTAGAACTGGCTTTCCTTCTTCAACTAGAAAACTTAAAAAATAAAATGTAAATATAAAGATAAAATCTGATTATTGGGGTATTTCCATTTACCTTTAGGAAGTGACACTCATTAGTCATTCAGTAAGTAATTTAAAAACATATTTCAGGATGTCTAGCATAATGAACATGTAGGTATAGGGTGATTTTTTATATTTAGAATGATATTACAGTTCCATGTAGTATTTCCTTTCTGTGACAACAAAAATTATCTAGCATAGAGGAAATGGTAAACTATGCCATGTGGAAAACAGAATTTAACCTTGCAACAACCATGAGGAAAAAATAGATCTTCAGTTAAATGCCATTTGTAGATAATTTCTATCCAAGTTGTTAATGTTTGAAAAGTTAAACACTGTTTAAAGGTTTTTATGATTCTGGGTATTCTTTAGCTTAGCAAAAACAACCAGAAGTAGATGGATAAATCTGCACCATTAAAAACTTCAAACTTTTAATTTTAGCGTATTGTTTCAGCTTTGTCTCCCATTCAGCTTATTCACAGCTGTTAACAAGGAACTAACTGGTTGGCTTGAGTGTTTTCTTTTCACCGTTTGGTGGCCAGTCTCTGGTGGAAATTCTGAGATGCAAACGAGGCAAACAAATGGGCCAGTGGGCTGGACAGGGATAAGAGACAGTGGGCATGGAGAATCTATTGTTGTTCATCCAATCAACTAAACATATTTTAATTGTAGCAGCAGTGCCATAAATAGGCCAGGCACAAGCATTTAATTTGCTATATTTTATTCCTGTTTCAGTCTCTGTGCTTCCACCATCCCTATGAATCTGCAATTTTGATTGGATTTTGTTCATTTGATGGGAGAGACTTCCCTCTAGTTATCTGGGCTTTTGGAAGATACTTTATTTTGAATAATTTAAGAGAAGTTGAACTTTGAGGAAACAATGCTGTTCTTACTGTAACTTGTATCTTATTTTTAACTAAGGACAAGACTTGTGTTCCCCATAGGCTCATATTAAACTAAACAGCTCTGCCGATCTGTGCTCTCTTGAAGGTGATTCGCAAGGGATGGCTAACCATCAGCAACATTGGCATCATGAAAGGAGGCTCTAAGGGATACTGGTTTGTCCTTACTGCTGAGAGTTTGTCCTGGTACAAAGATGATGAGGTAAGTCACAAAAGTGACAGAATTTTTTAAATTAAAATGCTTCTGTTTCAGATGAGTTGATTTTATTGTCATATACAGTATTGAGACTGGTGGTTTTCATTTAATAAGACTTGGCTTGGGATGTTTGTTTGAAGAAACACTGTTTTTTCCTCATAGATTTTAAATTTTACAGTAGTTCCCTCAAATATCTTTTATTTCTGTGATGTACTCACATGTTTGTTTACCTAAAGGAATGGAGTTAGGGACCTGTAGTTGAAAACTTCCTTCTTTGTAAGAATGGCCAAGTTACTGATATAGTGAAAGCTATTTTCATTAAATAATGTTTTGAAAATATTCAAGGTAATAGATCATCATAGAAACAAAGTTAATAGCAGTGATGCAGAGTTAATAAAGCATTTTGGAATTGTTGCTGTGACATCTGTCTCAAATGACAGGCTTTTGAAAATGTCCAAATCACTAGTCTTCAAGTGAGTCCCAGATAATTGTTTATACAAATTTTTTCTTTGAGAATTTGATATCTATGTAAAAGCATGAATTATGATAATTATGGTGTTCTGGTTCACGTTAAATGTTAATAATTTTGGTCCTGTGACTTATTACTCGTTTATATCTGATAGAAAAGCACACACAGACAAAAATCAGTCTTACAGAGCCATTAAAGTTCTATAAAATGATACTGGTAAACTTGGGAGGGCATGGATGGAAATTCAGCAGTGTTTTGGAAATTTTAATAGCTCTGGTCTGAGGTGAGAAGTTTTTGGTGCTTATAATGCAGCATGCAAACATTGGTTAAGAATACTCTGTGATGGCAAAACTATTTAACAGGTGAGATTGTGTCAGTTGTGTTTGACTGTAAATGGCAAGCATTTCAGAGTTAAAAGTCCTTCCATTCTTGGCTTGATAGCTTTTGAAAGCACTACAAGGTACTTTCTCAAATTGTTAGGGGAAAGCTCTGTGTCCTGCCTTGTTTTAAGTGCTTTGTGCACGATAGTGTGTGGAATAAGTATCAGATGACCCACTGAGGGCCACTACATTTTCTGAAGTGAAAGTGAAAGTGAAGTTGCTCAGTCGTGTCCGACTCTTTGCAACACCATGGACTCTAGCCTACCAGGCTTCTCTGTCCATGGGATTTTCCAGGCAAGAGTACTGGAGTGGGTTTCCATTTCCCTCTCCAGGAGATCTTCCCAACCCAGGGATTGAACCTGGGTCTCCCGGATTGTAGGCAGGCGCTTTACCGTCTGAGTCACCAGGGAAGTCCAAATTAAAAGGAAATCAAATCCTATAGAAAGATCCAAAGGAAATTTCTACTCAAAAGCTTTATTTCAAATGTTTATGTCATATATTTGACTAACTTCAGTCAAATGTGACATTGGTCATGAGTCTGAGGATTAGCACTGGTTTCTTTCCTGGGCTGGCTGCTTAGATAACCCTGTTAATTCTGTGGAAGCTCCAGTGTTTAAAGGCTATAGCTTCCCAGAGCTCTGAGATGCCTTCCTAGATATAAACATCAGGAAATAGAAAATCTTTTGTGTTCAGTTGCCCTACTAAATCTTCTCTTAGACACATTTTACTTAACAAGGCTTTAGGTGATTATTTATGTACATTTAAATACAGATTGGCCTCTGAGTCTCTCTCATTTATTCCAGGGAAAGCAAAAGACCTTGCTGAAGAAGCATAATAATTATAACTAGTTTTATTTTTACTTTTTTCTTTATATACTTATTTACTTTTGGCTGTGTCGGGGCTTAGTTGCAGCTTATTGGACTTAGTTGGCCCACAGCATGTGGAATATTAATTCCCCAACTAGGGATCAAACCCACATTCCCTACATTGGAAACTGAATTCTTAACCACTGGACCACCAGGAAATTCCTAGTTTTATACTGATTAATGACTCATTTGCTTTCCTCATAGCTCAGTTGGTAAAGAATCCGCCTGCAATGCAGCCAACCCCAGTCCAATTCCTGGGTCAGGAAGATCCACTGGAGAAGGGATAGGCTACCCACTCCAGTATTCTTGGGCTTCCCTTGTGGCTCAGCTGGTAAAGAATCTGCCTGCAATGAAGGAGACCTGGGTTCTATCCCTGGATTGGGAAGATCCCCTGAAGAAGGGAAAGGCTACCCACTCCCATATCCTGACCTGGAGAATTCCATAGACTGTATAGTCCATGGGGTCTCAAAGAGTTGGACACGACTGAGCAACTTTCACTAATGATTCATTTAATCCACATTATAATTGAAATGATAAGTACTATAATTAGCTTCATTTTTCAGGTAAGTAAGTGAAGGAAAAAACATAACCTTTTGAAAGTCATTTCTTTGGGTTCAGTTCTTCTTATGGAAAACATTTGGTGTTGGTGAGAATAACTCACTTGCCAAGGTCTCACAACTGCTTGATGACAAAGCAGAAATTTGAATATAAGCTATCTGGCTCCAGAGTTTATGCCTTCAACCACAAATGGAGGCAAGAACCTCCAAGGTGTTGGAGTTTTCCTAGTCAACCTCGTCCCACTGAGGATTTATTAAGATGTGTTCCAGGCACCCTGGCATTGACCTTTCCCTGAGTGCTAGTATCAGGGGCTCTGAAGACTCAGATTAGCCACTACCGTTGGAGTATGGCTTTAGGGGTTTTGTTGTTTTCCTTGTTTGGCTGTGTGGGCACTGATAGAAGCCAGTTGAAAGGCACATGATGCTCTTTGCAGGGAAGGAGGAGGATTTGAGGGCTTGGTGAGCTCATGGTCACCCGTCAGCCCCTCCTCTCTGCTATAAACTCAGAAAAGCTTTTTACAAAATCTCTGCTGCTGAAGTTCTGTCATGAGCACTTGATTACAATAAACAGAAAATACACGTGTGCAGTTATAATAGTAACTGGGTGCCAGAGAACATTTTTATTAAAGGTATATATGTGAAAGGTGGTTTGTGTGTGTGTGTCTTGAGAGGCAGGGATGGGTAACAATGATCCTTGAAACAAATTGGGTTGATTGAGGTGAAGAAAGTTAAGAAAAGGGTTGTTTTCCTAGTTTAGAGTAATTGATAAAAGAGAAAATGACAGGCAAGTTAGGTGCCCTATGGAGCTAACTACTAGACTAATAATACAAAATCAGATATTAAGTGCTTTGAAGAAAATAGGTCAATGAGCTAGAAACTGATGGGAGGAGGAACCTTTAGATTGAGTGTTTGGAAAGAAGAAGCACTGCAGCAAGGACTGGAATGATGAACTGTGTCGGAGATTGTATTGAAGAATCCTCTAGGGTGGGAGTGGGCAAAATGGAGGAGGGGTAAGACAGAGAAATAGGAAATAAAATCAGAGGTATCCCATCAGGCCCCACCAGTGATTTGGATTTTATCCCGAGGATAATTGAAAACCATCTGCCTGTGTCAACAGGATGTGGCCTGATTGGATTTCTATTTTAGAAAGATCACTCTGGCTGCTGGGTTGAGCATGATGTGTGGGATGTAATGTGTATGTGGATGGAGTGGGGTCGGCAAGAAGAGAAGAAGTGAGGCTAGCTAGAAGACTGTATCAATGGTTGAAGCAAGAGAAGATGGTGGCTTGTGCTGGATGGAGGGGAGAGCCCAAGTTCAGGGTCGCAACTTGATGGGCCACATACAGCTATACTGTAGTCATTAGATACTGTTCCTCATTTAAAAAAAACTGCTCAAAAAAAGAGGTAGGAAAATTTCCAGATATTAATGCCTGACTCATGACCCCTATCTTCAGTGTTTTTGTGTCAGTGGGACAGAGCCTTATTCCCCTGGAGCCATTCTCATTCATTCCCATCTTATTGCCTCTTGGCTACCGTCACCCTGGTTCTCTATTCTGCTCAGTTTCTCTTACCAGCAGTTCCTTCCACCGCAGGCCACCTTTGAACCTGCTGGTGGGACAGAAGGGAGGCGTCAGCACTGTTCCTTGCTCTCCAGCATTATTCAGTTAATAGTTATTAGCATCTGCTGGGAGATGAGGATTGAAGAGAGGGTATGGGGAAAGGAGGTCAGGAGAAATGTGAGGAGGGTGGGGCTTTGAGGTAGTGATCAGTCTCTGGCCTTTTGAATTTGTTCCCTCAACACCCATCCTTTAGTAGCAGTTTTAAATGATGCTTAGATTTCATACCAGCCTTGCTGTCATAGCTTAACTATGCTTCTGGGTATGGATTAAACATGTTTCTGCGGGCAACTTTGAAAACCCCAAATTTAAAATTTTCCTTTGTGATAATAAGCACGAGTTCTTACTCAACTTTTAGAGTCAGTTTGTTGGTAAGTTGAGTGTTTGTATTTTGTTCCTCTGATATCTCTCACATCAGTGCCTACACATTTTGGAAATCCTGTTCCATGGCAGTTTTTCTGTCTCAGTAAAGCAAATGTGGCCCTGTAAATATTATTAAGCTACATGTTTGTCATTTATTTAATAACTTACATTCAAATTAGCATAGAGAATTATGGTTTGTTTCTATGTTCTTTCTTATTTCTGCTTGCTTATGTAATTAGACTGATATGTTTTCATTATGATCTAGTTGGCTGTGGAATAAATAGCATATTATGTTATGTAAATGGATATGGTTTTATTTAACTTATGACAGGTTTGTAGTAAATGTAAATGGCTTATGAAGTGTACTTGTGATTAAAGAATGGTGGTTCAAACTCTTTACAGGGTGACATTAATTGAACGAAAGACCCTATAGACAATGGTGCAGTGAAAAGGGTAAGATGCTAGAGAATGTGAATTTTCTATGATTAACTGCCAGTGTTGGAACAAGTCAAACTTCTCTGAGCCTCTGTTTTAGCTTATCAAATGGGGACTGTTATTGACCAAATCACCTGAAAAGGAATTTGTGCAACTCTAAGAAATCATATGTTAACAAGTGCCTTTCTAAACTTTTAGGTATCACATTTATATATTTATTCTTATCATTGCAAGTAATATTACACCCTCCTACAATAACATAGATGCGAAGAGCTGACTCATTTGAAAAGATCCTGATGCTGGGAAAGATTGAGGGCAGGA